GTATCCTTGTGCTGCGTTTGTTCAGCAACATACACGGGGAATATTGGTTCCATTTTCTAGCAGCAAATGTTTCTTCTCTGGAAGTAAGAAAACAATTTGGCATGGAAAGACCCTCTGCAGCATAACATTTGCACCTAGTCATGCCAAGAAAAAGTGTGGACTGTTACCGAAGCTGTGCAGGGTGGGATACATATTACAGTTTCTGCTGCTTGGGTGATTGAACTATGAGCCAATCTTTGGAAAACATGTGGTGTAATCATGGAATTATTGGGCTTACTCAGTTCCTAATGTACAGAAAAGTTCTAAAGTTGACTTTACTTAAGCAAATGTGTAGCAAGACATAAGCCATATGGAATTACGTTGGTTTAGAATGAATTTTATTGCTGTGATAAGAGCATTTGCCTAGGATTTGTACAGAATTGCCAGTTATGGCTTGTTTAGTGTATACATGAGCAATATTGTTATCTGGCCTAGGGCAGGGGACCTTTAAGACTTCTGGACATGCTGGCTGGAAAATTCTGGACGTTGAAGTCCACAAGTCTTAAAGTTGCCAAGTTTGGAGACCCCGGTTCTAGAGCAAAACCAGCCACATTTAGCACACCTCAAATCACCTTGAGTAGTGGGATCTTTCAGTGGTTCCTGTTAAAGTTCAAAGATACAGAACTGAAAGCCAATTTTTGTTAAACGTATTTAAGTAATTGCATTTTAAGATGACAGGATAAAAATGTAATATTGTTTAAAATTAATCATCCAATTTTTAAAAAATGGGGTATTCCAGTTCATTGTTTAAGGTTTCTTGCAAGATTTCCGTTTTCTATTTCTATTCATACATTTTGGTTGTCATAAAAAATCAGTTGTGACTTTGGAAAACCTCAAATCTTTTCCAATTATATTGTTAATTTCATGTTAAGAATTTAGAACATTTGGGTGTTGTTAATGTACCAGGCTGACACTGAAAGCTTGAAAAAAAAATTAATTTGAAACATTGCCATTCAGCAATTATTTTAAAAATCTACGCAAAGATTCATATGTATTCTTAGATTCCCATTAACTCTCCTGTTCTTTCACATCCTGGAGTCTTAAGTGCCTCACGTTCCTCTTACACTCTCAGATTCTTCAGCAGGAAGCTGTCACCTAATCAACTATAGGCATCTTTTCAGGAAACAAGCTTTTTACACTTTACACTGCAGCACACGGTCTCTTGGAACACATTTTTCTGCTCTTATCCTTAGTGAACTGCTCTCACAATCCTTTTATTTTTCCCATTTTCTTGCTTAGTCAGATATAATTACATGATTTACATTTAAATAATCAATATATGCATATCCTACCTTTCTACCTTTTGGGAGTCCTGAGATCACATATAAAAAACATTTCAAGCAGAATTAATTGAAAAAACAAATATGAACAAAACTGAAATCCCCGTTAGCATAGTCCAGTCTCCAATGGACAGAACTAGCTAGAAAGTAATAGAGGGGAGTGGAAATTTGTGTCAAATGGACAATTGAAAGAAAGCAAGATTTACTAGCATTGACATGTCATGGAAAAACCCAATAATATTCTGGAAATTAAGGGTTTAGTTTAGTTTAGTTTAGTTTATTTGGATTTATATACCGCCCTTCTCCCAAAGGACTCAGGGCTGTGAACAGCCAAAGATAAAACACATACAATATAAAATTTAAAAACAATTGAAAACATATTAAACAAATTTGGCCCATACTAATTAAAACACCCCATTTTTAAAAACAAATTAAAATTAAGCAATTAAAAGAGTTAGGCCAGCCCAGCTTGTTGGAATAAAAAAGTCTTGAGGGCACGGCGGAAAGTGCGTAAATCTGGGATCCTCTGTATCTCCGGGGGGAGCTCGTTCCAAAGGGCAGGTGCCCCTACAGAGAAGGCTCTCCCCCTGGGGGCCACCAGTCGACACTGACTGACGGCACCCTGAGGAGCCCCTCTCTGTGGGAGCGTACTGACCGGTGAGAGGCTACCGGTGGCAGGAGGCAGTCTTGTAGGTACCCAGGTCCTAAGCAATGAAATTCAGGGTGAAATTCAGGTATGAAGATAGGTAGATATAAATTTTACTTTGCTAAACTTCAGGAGTATATAAAAATGAAATGTACGCTTTGTAGAAACACAGTCAAGGTAGTATAGAATGGAGTATTTAATTAGAGGATTAATAGAGCATTTAATTTTTAAATACTCTAGACCAGCCTCCTCCCCCCAACCCTTGGATCGTGGCCCACTACCAAGCCTTGAGCTGTTCGGAACTGGGCCACGGAAGTGGTGGGCGCAAGCTTGTGCAGAACCATCCCTCTCCCACTCCACCAATCTGCAAAGCCAGAAAGATTGGAGAACTCTGCACTATAGAGTACTTAAACAGCTGTGGTGGAACAGTGGTTAGAATGCAATATAGCAGGCTAATTTTGCTGATGCTAGAAGTTCGATTCTGACCAGTGAAAATTGACTCACTTCAATCCTTCCAAGGTTGGTAAAATGGGGATACAGATTTTTGGGGGGCAATATGCTGACTTTGTAAACTGCTTAGAGAGGGCTGTAAAACATTACGAAGCGGTATATAAGTCTAAGCACTTTTGCTATTGTTTTTGTTATTTTATTTATCAGATTTATATTTTTAAGCTAGATAGTTCTCTGAAGGATCAAGCAGGTTTATTATTTATCCTTTATAGGATACATAAACAAGATCAGCTACAACAGAAAGGATAAGGAAGGAAGTTGCTTTGGTAACTACAGATATTGTACAGGATGAAAAATGCTATGATGACAAATCAAAATTGTACCTTAATCACAATGCGGGATGCTAAATACTTAAAACACTAGAGTGATGTTAAAGTCAGTAATGTCTAGACTGGGGAGGGTGGGAGAAAGGCTGTCTTTATCCATGCAGAATGTGCTTCTTCTCTCACTTTTTGTCCTTCAAAGTCTAGACAAGGGTGGGGAACCTGTGACCCTCCAGATGTTTCTGAACTGCAACTTTTAACCTCCCTCCTGTTGGCCAAGTTGATTGAGTCTATTGGAAATTAGACATCTGGAGGCTAAAGATACCCCACCCAGGCAAAGTTTGAAACTCATACACTTAATCTAGAATGATGGAGAGAAAAGCCACAGTTCTAAAAGCCCCAACATCTTCAACTCTAATTGCTGGATAGAAACTTTATCTATGTGCTGATATTTTTGCAGGTGTATGTTATAGAATCAATATTTTAGAATAATGAAAATCCGTAGTTGTACAACAATTGAGAATGATTGAACTTTGTGTGATTAATAGAATGAGGGAAAAATTCACTCTTCGTTGGTGGTCCTTTATCATCCCATGACTTTAGCCAAGAATAATTTATTTTCCAATTGTACATTTTAATGCTCTATTTTAATTATACCATGAAGCAATATTGGTACTTTTCTAAATATCTATGACCTGTTCATATACAAAGCATGCTACACTGAAAACTGAAATAACCCTTGAGTGTGCCTGGGCAAAGTGATAATCTAAAAGGAATGCAGGAGTGTAATTGGAAAAATAGAAGACTAGTTTTATAAAGGTCCAATTCATTTCCCTTGTGTATTTCTGTAGTTACATTTTCTTTGCTCAGACCGTTATTTTTCCGTCACCCCTTTCCCATCTGCCCAAATTCTAACAAGACCTTCCTTTTCTACTACACTTTTTGGGAAGGTTGCCGCCTCTCAACAATAAAATTCAGACTATTTTTTAAAATAAATAAATGCCTGTTTTCAATTCTACTTGGCTATTATCCCAATAACAATAACTCTGAATTATCCAAATGAAATACGTAGTTTAAATTATAGCCAAACAAACCGAATAAAAATTTTGAAACACTTTTCAGAGATTAACAGTTCAGAAACAATTTAATGGTCTTTTTTATCATAGATTTCCATTGTTTGGCCCTAGCATGCACTTAGACTATAATAGAAATTGCAACAGAGGCTGAAATTTGTCATAGAAGATAAGTCTTTAGACACTTGCTATCCATAGCTTTGTTAAATAGTTTTACTAATCTCTTTTTTTTATTAAAGCTATGTATGATGAATAGGAAAGACGTCTTTTTCAGAAAGCCATAATGAAACTCTTTTGAAAAATATTATCTTTCAGAGAAATGCAAGGTTATGATCAGCTATCCTTTTGAAATAATTTTAATGTATCTTTTCCAAACAAATCATATTATGATTGTTTTAGCATACATCCAGTAGTGGTACATCAAGAATTCAGATTAACAAGCTGGAAAGAATTAGCTATTGTGATGTTATGATGTGAGAAAAGAAATCTTTCCCCAAAGAATAATAGGCTTCTTTCCTCTCTCTCTTTAAATATAGTTCTGGATATTATTAGTATCTTCTTGCAAATTATTAGAAATAATTTTCCTAATATACAGAGATGGTCTGTGCTGAATGAGTTACTTAAGTACCCTATTATTAACAAAACATTGGACCATTAAAAGATAAAACCTTATTTATCTTGGGTTGTTGTGCAGTATCACAACAAGGCCACTTGAGCTAAGCCGCTTTAGTCAAACGAAAGGATTTCTCCAAAGAATTGTTAAGTGTTGTAATTTCATTGTACTGGTGTAATTATTATTGCTCTAATTAAATTGATTAGGAATAGCCATAATGCCTAAATGTATTTTGCATGTAGTTAAGCTACACTCTTCAGTTTTACGTTTGATTATCAAAAATGTAAGTATTTATCTGTCTTAATCATGGATCCAACATTATCAGATGTTACCAAGTTCTAAGAGTTTCTGGAAAGTAGATTATGAAATATGGCACCTGGACTATTTCTGATGTGGCCCATATTGAGTTTAAATTTTTTTTCCTTCATGAATTAGCCTTGGAAATTTTCAGTAATCACTTAATATTCCACAGCCGGTTTAGAAATGAACTGCTAATGATTGGAATTGGTTGCTATTTGCTTAAAATTGAAATTTTGAATGAAGTTCATACATCTCTTCTCTCCTTCCTTTCCAAAGAATGTCCAGAGTGGTGGGGCTTAGACTGTAGACGGAATATGTCTCTAACTGCCAAGTGTTCTTGCTGCTGCTCCATGAAAACTCTTGTTGCTCCAATTGACGTTATGCAGCTATCGGACGTCAGGCAGCTGCAAGGGCAGCCTCTCTTGATCAAGGTAACTTAATAGTATGGCGGGACCTGGCAGATGGTGGCAAACCTCTTGGACATATGAAAAGACTTTTAATAAAATTAATGTCATCCTTTTCTCATCAGACAGGACAGTATCGTTCTTATGCTGAAATGAAACATTTTCAGTCCCTCTACCCCGAATTGACAAATTTTGTGATACAAGAGGAGGCAGCTGAGTTATGGAGCAGCCCTTCCAAGCAGCAAGCTCCATTTCCTGTTTTCTGGTGAGTTTGAGCTGTTAGAGGTTCCCTGCCTCTCTAGCACTAGCTCAACAGTAGCCCCAGCTGACATTCAGTGATGCAACTTTCAGGAGCCCTGAAGAGCAAGGAGTAGGGATGAGGTGCAGCACTAGAAAAGAGGTACGGTTGCTATCCCCATAATTTTCTTCTTTCTTCTTTGAATTATCTTTCTTGATTGAAATGGAGAAGTGGTCCTGTCAATATGCAGATTTTTTTTAAAAAGGGAATTGAATTACGTACTAGTAGTAGGCTATCAAACTCAACAACATGATTGTTTCCTCTTATTCAGGAAAAACTCATATTTTAGAGGCTGTACTAAGCTTATGTGGCTGCTAAGGGGTACTGAATAATATATAACAATTGCTTTTTGATCTTTTGGATTAGAGGTGATCATGAAGCCTGTAAACTGCACTATGGCAGTATGTCCACCTATGGAGGGATAGTGGATCGTGCTCTGTCTGTGTAGATTGGAGGCTGTGCAAAAACCTTTGACTCCTGTTTACAACATAGATCACTGCTCCCTTACCAATAGGTTCCAGTAAACATTTACTGCACTGTTTAAATGATTTCAGGATTCAAGTCTGTCGAAGAAATGCAAAAATTCTGGAAACTTTGAAAAAAAGTTCTATTTTTTAAAAGGAATTTTTGGAGAAATTAAAACATATACAGTGCTTAGTTTTTAATATCTTTTATAACTATGAAGTGTGGTTGTACAAAGTGTTCTGTGCATGGAACAATTGGTTTGGGATGGGCAGTGCATAGACAAAATATACAAGATTTTGGATGTTTCTTCCGTACAGAATGCTGAATGGGGTTGTTTTATTCCAGCAGAAGTTGGAAAGTGATGGTACTAGATAAAAAGTGTTTTGTGTGCTCTGCTCCACTTTAACTGCTATGACTAGATGTTGTCTTCAATCAATTTTGAATTCTAGTAACTGGAAAGTAGCTATCATTATTGCAGTTTTGCAAATACTTCTTTGGGGAACCTGTGAGTTGGTTGGTTGGTTGGTTGGTTATTTATTTATTCATTTATTTATTCATTTATTTATTTATTTTTATGTTGCCCATCTTCTTTACAAGGTGAATCTGGGTGGCTTGCAGGTTATAAAACAAGTAAAAGTAGTTGAAAGATGAAAAGATTAAAACAACACAGAGTTAAAATATTAGGAGAACTAAGAACCAGATGGGACACGGATGAGATGTTCCTATCCCATTAGCCAGATACTGAAAGTGCCATTTTTCAAAAAACAAACAAACATGTGGAGGAAAAAAAAAGTAAGGAATCAAGATGCAGCATATGCATTTTGCCAAAAGAAATGTTAGTTAATTGGTAGGGTTGTGTACTCTTGAAAATGATATGGAGAAATGTGTGGGACATCTACAGACACTGCACCTGTCCACGAGCTTGCAAAAAGATGCTACTGTTTTAAATGTTGCTTTACTTAGTCAGTTATTTCAAGAGCAATATATTTTTTTCAAGTTTGGAAAAGGACATAGCTTCTTTAGCTGATGGCAGAGAAGTACTGTACTTGTGCTCAAGGGTTTTTCTCTCTCTCTCCCCCTTCCCCCCCCCTCTCTCTCAGATGTGACCTGTGATTGCATATGGCTGCCATTTTTTAATTCCCCCTTTGTTCCCATATAAGACTAAAGAACGTTTTCCAAATAATTTGCAAATTGTGCACAGAGCTATTAATTACTGGACTACTATTGTCATTGGCAGGTTCAAAAATTATTTTTTAAAAAATTTTGATGGACTTTTGAAAACCAAAGGCTTAGCGGTGCATATTACAAGCTTATGTAATATTTTACATGTTAGTATGTTTTTTGATTTAATGTGACAGTTTTCAATCAGTAACCAACATCATTCTTAACATAATCATGTTATGTAGAATTTCAAATGAAATATTTCAATCTTTCTCTTCCTCACTCCCAATTTTTTTGAAAACAACAAAAAGTTCTTGAAAAAGGAAAAGGGATATTTCTTCTCTGAATTTCTATTTCCCCCGTAGGGCTTTACATCTTTAATCTGCCCTTGAGTGAATTTATTTTATTGTTTCCAGTCTATGAAGTGTCCCTTTATATAGTTTATTAACCCAAAGCTGGAGTTTTCATTTTTTTCCCTGGCTGTGGAAGCTCTTAATTTTTTAAAAAAAGTTGTAGAACCCTAATCAAAAGGCAGAGCTCTACTGATAAAAGATTGACAGCATTCAATCCCCCCCCCTTGATTCCACCCTCACCCCCGCTGGAATCCCATCAAGTTCTTGCAGGATCCTAAATTCCACTGCAAAAGGCTGAGAAGCCTTTTGCAAATCTGTGCTTGTTTGAAAGTTCAGTTCAAGATTAAATTCTTTGTTACCTTGTACACCAGGTTTTTCCCTTTATATTTTTGAATCTTCCAGTGGACATGCTCTCTGGCAATGGGTTGGAAGAATGTGGTTTTTGCATAAATATTACAAGACCGTAATGGTTGATGCTTTGAGTCATATCTGGGCATTCCCTATTTGTGAAATACAGTGTTCCCTATCATCCAATGCTGTATTTTTTTATGAACTTATGATGGACAGTTTGGGTGCACAGTATCTCAGTATGAATCATGACAAGTCTCCACACTGGGATTTCTCATGTTTCCCTGCCCTCCATTTTCCTAGAATGATGAGTAAGTTAGGATTCCCAAAGCCTTTCCCATGTGGCTTTAGTTAATGCTGGACTAGGTGACGCCTTTCTTTGTTTTACTTCTTCAGAGTTTAATTTGATAATAAGTGTGATCTTTTCCCCCTTCAGACAGAAACTTTAAGATTATATCTGATCTTAGATAATACCAGTCTCCTGATTCCTTGCCTATATTATTTTCTTGGAGAATGTAGATTATCTAAAGTTAGCTAAAGAAGGCTCACTTTCTAATCCAAATGCTCATATCCCCACATTGACATCTGATTTGTGTGTGACTGTGTGTGTGCTTTTGTGACATATATGTTAAATTAAGCCAGATACAGATAGCCCTTTAGGATGGCAAACAATGACTGTTTTGAAATGGTTTAGAACTCAGTAGCAATGCCATTGTGAGGTGCCTGCTGTCTTGCTTATTCTCTAAAATGTCCCATAGGCAAACCCCTCAGAATAAATCTCAGATTCTGCAAGAGATTTTTCCCATCTTCTCTTCGCTGCTGTTTCCAAAGGACATTTCTCTAAAAAGCTGTTTCCTCATCCACCATCCACGGCTTCAAGATAAGGTCGGTGTGTTTAGTGTTAAAATATTTCTGAACTTCTTTTTACATTTACACCAGGAACATTAGGCTGAAAAAAGAATGACTTTTTCTAAAAGCATTTGTATTCTATATTTATATTTAAAAGGCTCTGATCATGGTTTATGCAGTAGAAAAACTAAAAGGCCTCATGCCCTCAGATTAAGAAACAAAAAAAGATGTGAGGTAGAAAGATATCGAGAGAAAAGGAAGATACGTTCTTAGTGCTAACATTGTTCTAAAAGGGTTGATTGGGAAGGAAATGGCTGCCCAGAGAGGGCAGAAGACTTTGTCACCTTCAGGGCAGACAGTTCTGTTCTTCTTTTTCACTAAACTGTTATTTATCCTGTCCTCTGTGAGGAGAGAGGAATGGTCTTTAGTCCAGTTGGTTATAGCAATAGGAAGAAGATTTCAATGCGGGGCTGCTCTTTTTTCTTGTGAGTTGAAAAGTGGTTGAAAATGAACAAACATAACTGAAACCCAACAAATAGCCAGCTCTTCAAGACAGGTGTAATGTTGCTGAGCATTTGCTGCTTCTATTCAAACCTATCAGATACGCAATGGGGCAACAAATTTGGTGTGTATTGCCACATGCATATAGAAAAGGGATGGTGCTCTGATTGCAACATTATACCTGCCATTTTGCAGATTTTGCTATGCCAATGTCACTGGGTAGCATCAAGCTTTAGATCTGCTTGGTTGACAAGATCCTTGAGAGATGGTTATGGGGTCCGACTTTTTTTGGCTCTGGTTTGATGTTGCAGAGGAGCTCTAGAGAAGAAACCATTATCTATGCCTTCAGTTTCTTTGAATTCAATTTTATGTTTTTTATTTTCTTTCCAGTAAAACTATAAAGGTTTCTGGGTGATAATAAAATGAACAGTCCTTCTTTTTTTATTTTTCAGACATACAGACTGCAGAACACCTTTGTGGTAGGAAGTGGTCAGCTCAATTTATATGTTATTCCATCTCTCTTGTGCAGAGAACACTGCAAGACATTGATGGTAGAGCTGGAAGCTGGAGATATTGGTGAGAATTGATACAGCAATAGGAGTTTATCCTACCAACAGCAACTAGCTGCAATTAACTGTTACTGCTGGAAAAAAAGCAAGCCCTGATTTGTAGCTCCTGACATTTTGCCCTACTAAATGCTTTAAACTTTATAATGCAGTAATAGAGAAAATATATTCCACACCCTATCTATTGGGAAAAAAACATGAACTCTGTATATACTATGTGGTCTTCTAAATTGGCTTTCTACCCTAGAAAACTGCATTTGGCATTATAGGAAGTTTGTGTTGAGTCTATTGCAGCAGCCAAAAGTCAAAGTGCTGTTTATGGGAAGGCTACAATTTAGTAAATAATGTTGCTTCATTGTTGTACAAGGCTAGGCCAGACCAAACTTGATTGATCACCACAGTTCAAAGAAGAGAATGTAGAACTGCTTATGTATAAACATTATATTGGAACATAGCAAGAGTCAGGCAGGCAAAGGGTGGGCAACCTTTTCAGGCAATGACCATCCGTTCTTCTTTTAAAATTACATGAATTTTTATCCTCAAAATCTCATAAAAGAACGTTGGGGTCTCACAGCTTTGGGCTGAGTTGGGGTAACCTCATGCTCTCTAGCGGTGTCATGGATGTACTGATGTTTGTAGAGTTTTGAAGTGGACTCTTGAGACTATTAGGTCTGTTTTATTGAGGCCACTTAATGAAATAGTTCATATGAAGACATATGCTGAAGTAATTTTTTTATACTTCCAAAGAAATCTTGCTTAAGCCTTAACAAATTGATTTTCTCTAAGCTATATCATATTGTTAAGACCAGAACATATATATGGATAATTTACTTCATGTAAGATACTGGTGGGTCTAGGATAACTCGGCACAGCCAACTCAGCATGGCCAGTTTACCACCACCAAGTTGCCTCCGCCAACTCATTGCCGCCAACTCATTGCAGGACAACTCAATGTGGCTAATTCGCCATGGGACCAACTTCTTGCAGGCAGCTAAAGAGAGCTTAGTAGGTGGGCAGAGATCAGAGCGGCAGCGACTAGGGGCTTCCCATCAGAGAGAGAGATGGGCAGGTAAGTGAGCAGGTGGGCAGAGTGCAGAATGGCAGTAGCAATGGCTGGAGGCTTCCCATTTTCACATCCCCTGCCGCTGCCGCTGCGATGAGCTCTAGGCCTTTCAGAGTTCAGGGGAATTTGGCAGCAGCAGCAGTGTTTGGACCGTTCAGTGGTAGTGGGCAGGATAAGTGGGGGAGAGGTGTTGGAGGTTGGGTAATGTCCCATTTTCATATCTCCCACTGCTGCTGCTACTGAACAGCCTGTGGCGGTTGAGTGTGAAAATGGGATGTGCCTTCTCTCTGCCACCTCCTGGCTGTTCCTCCCACCGACTGCCTGAACACTGCTGCTGCTGCCTCATACCCTGAACTCTGAATGGCCTGGATTTTAGTGCAGCAGCAGAGGCAGGTGTGTGTGAAAATGGGAAGCCCCCAGCCATCACCACTCTGCTCTGTCCACCTGCTTGCGTGCCCACTCACCTGGGTCTCCCTCTGGTGGGAAACTTCCAGTTGCCGCCATCGCTCTCCACTCTGCTTAGTTGCTTGTTTGCCTGCCCGGCTCTCCCTCAGCTGCCCTCACCAAGTTGTCCCATGCTGAACTGGCCATGATGAGTTGTCCCATTCTGGACACTGGCAAGGAAGCATGTTGAAGTACTTGCATACCATGGAAATAGAACAATGGGATGTTTCAGGGCACCATCACCTCCAATAGCATCCAATAATAAATCATAATAATCTGGTGTTATTGTTTTTCTTCCAAAGGTTTTACAAATGTAGATTATTGGACAACAAGTTTTAACGCCAGAGGATCTGAACCCGTTGTCATTTGTGATGGATCTGCCAGTTGAAAACTCAGTGTGCAAGACCTCAATGTCACAAAAGATATGGGGATGATACCACTACAGTTCCCAGTGATATGTTTTTCCTTCTGATCTGCAACGAAGAAAGCTGTGCACTTTTAAAAGAACATTTTATTCAAGGTCACTGGCTTGCCTTTTCAGATGTTTTGGTACAAACCGGAAGACCTCTTTCCTCTAGCTTTTAGTAGAGTTATTCTTGAAAGCTGACTGATGGATTTTGTGTGTGTGTGTGTGTCGGGGGGGGAGTTCTGTGAAGTACTCTTTGTGAACATTATTCCTTTTGACACTGCAGAAGGAGTTGTCTCAAAATATTCCTTTCCAGACATCCTGGAAGAAGTAACGTCAGAGCTGCTGATGTCTCTGGATCATTGCTTTAAAAGAGCAAACTACTAAAATATCAGATAGGCTGAGAAATTAAAAATGTCTCTTGAGAAAAGCATTTGCTCAGGATCTTACCCTATGTTACAGTTTGAATGCAGGAATTTGATCCACAGCTGCATTTTTCTTTCTTTCACTATATTGTGATGACACATCTTCAGAATATTCTTTCCAGTGAAAAAAAGTCATGTCTTTCTACCTAAGAACACAGCGTGACTTTATGCAGTCATCACCAAACTGTGTGGCTGAGGTGGGGTTTATATGCTTGACAGAGAAAAGCGTCCCGCAAATATATTTTTCCATCTCTTTTCATGAATGTTGAAATATGTATTCTTGACACTTCTCCCTGGACTAAGTCAGTAGAACACCAAATCCATTTTCCCCCCAAATGAGTAATAAGAGCCAAATTTGTTAAAGCAATGACTTGTTTGAGCATCCTCTTCTGAAAATTAAGCACTTGGAGAGGGTCTGAGTTGGACATTCCAAATTAGTTACCATTTTAATTTGTTATCATGGTTGAGTTGAGCTTGGGAAAGTATTTCTTGAAAGCATTTTATAAAATTTTGGTTTGAATGTCTCCAGATCTTTTTAAAATTGAGGGGGATAGTTTGTGGGCAGAGTTGCAGTGTGGAATGTTTAATGTGTGCCATGAATATGTTTGCCATTCTCTACAAGCATTAATTGTATTCTCTCTTTCATTAGCATTGTCAATGTTTGATTCTTGATTGCCTTCCCAGGTTTTTGCATTTCCTCATGGTTCTTGTGAACTCATCTATCTAATATATTTAGAGGGGATTATTTTCTAGCACAGAAATTGTAGAGGTGTTTCCCTTGAGTGAATCTTTAGGTTCCTGTTGTGCTAAGATAATTTGCAGATGTGTCAGGCTGAAGCCGGGCCAGCAATGAGGCTAGTGCGCATATTTGTACAAGTTTATATGCTTTGGGGGGGATTCTTTTATTAAAATGTAATAAAATGGGAAGCAGAATTGCATTAATTTGTAAAGAAAACAGTTTTAAACATTGGACTAGAATAATATCTTTGTTTTTAGAATCTTTGGATTAATTATTAATTGTTCAGCAGAGTAACAGATAAAGGAGCCTGTCAGAATCATGATCCCGTTCTCATGACTTAGTGCAAATAGACAAATTTTGTTTATTTCCTTCTGTTTCTCAAACATGCATAACTAATTGGGTATTGAGGGACTAAATTACGATAATGAAATTAGCCTTATGGATGGTTAAAGGATTTGTGAATAAATAAAATGATAGGACTATGAAACTTAAACTTTTAGAGGATGGGAACTTAATCTTCATCACTGATGTTTAACTGCATACTTAAGTGTTTTTTATCTTCTTTTAAAACAGAAATTTCACACATTATAATGTCACTTTAGGTTTGTATATAAAAAAGAAACCTTTGTAATCTGGGCTAAGTATTTTACTAAAGGCGTGTGTGTGTGTGCATGTGTGATGATAGCCATAGAAGTGGCAAATGTGTTGTTTGGTTTTTCATTAATATTTTCTATATCATTTTATATGAGAATAAGCCCATTAAGTTTAATGGTACTTGCTAATCAGAAGGCATGTATAGGTAATAGATGAAAAACCTCACTATATATAAATATCCTAAGTGGAATTTCTTACTTGACATCTCTATTGGGGTTTTTTTTAAATGAAAAAGCTAGGTTTCTAAATTCTTTTTCATTCATTCTTTTATCAAGGTTAAATATAGACCTATCTATCCAGAGAATACTGCTCGCTTTGAACTGCATGTTGGTCATATTTTTAATTTTTATGCAAATAATATAAAAGAAAAAAAATCCAAAGCATTTCGGATGACAAAGACCACTTAAATCTACGAAGTTATAGAAAGTTGTTTCTGCTTTGGTAGTGAAATATGTAGGTATATTTAACAGATTTATATCAATGATGCTCACTGTTTAATAATGTGCTGGAGGGCAGGGAATTGATGTCAGTCTAAGGGTCTCTGGGTAACAATTTTTTAAAAGTACAAATATTTCCCTAAAATGGTTTGTTTGTTTTCTCTCTCTCTCTCAAATACAAACCGGGATATTGTTAGCACGTTGGACAGGAGATAATGTATCTATCCTACTTTTGGACTCTGGTTTTCCACGTGCACTTTTTGTCTTTGTGTTGGCTTTCAGATCTGGGTTTAGGAGGTGCTGTGCATATGTCCAAGTCTCATTCCCTCTGGAGTTTACATCATTTGTTTTCAAACTTCCAGTACATTTTCTCCTCCTTTTCTACAAGCTGCAAGGAATTAAAAGCAGAAGTAATTGCTCAAGAGGAATCCGAGATCCAAGTTCTCTGCTTTTTAGCTGATTAAGAGCATTTACTTAGATAAGATCCTCAGTTGTTCCATTTGGAATGCATACTACTATTGGAAGGCACCAGGCAGGCGAAGACTGTCACAGAGCATATGGCAATAAATGAATACATATATATTCATTGTTGCTATGTTTTCCGCACTTTTTGCCACCCTGTTGCATGATATTGATAGATTATTATTTTTTTTGGGGGGGGGGCATAAAATGCTTTAGATTTCCTGTCCGATATTCACTGTATATGTTGGTCAATCTGTTCTTTGCTTCTTTTGGAGAAACAACCTACCTGCTGTGTTGTACTGCAGTACTTATAAAACTTAAACATTACATACTTGTAGGTACAATCCTAAACTAGCATTGGTAGTTTGTTTCTTGGTTAGGTTCAATGGCCAAGATGCAGATTTTTGTTTGCTAACTGCAGAGCAGTGAATGAAATATATTTGTCTTTGGGCAGACTGCATTGAAGTGATGAACTGAAGTGATCTAATGAGCAGCGTTTACTGAAGGTTACCTGGCTGCCCATTCATATCTATGGATACTTAGTGTTCAGGTCACTACGATTTTCCTCCTAGATTTCAGTTTTTAAACCTCAGGACCAAGGTATATATAACAAGTGCAAACAAGCTTTATGAAATTTTGTAAACAATTTCAGGGAAATCATAAAGGGGTTTCTTTTGCACACAGTAGAAATTGCAGATACAGGTAGTCCTTGACTTACGACTAGTCGCTTGAAAATATGACAGACACCCCCCCTCGAAAAAAAAAAAACAATCTATGTGTCCATTTTTGAAGTTACAATATTGATACAATGGCTGCATGCATATACACTCTGCAGTCCCATGATTGCATGTTGAGCACTTGGCAGCCGGGTCACCTTTACAGCCATTTGCAGCATCCTATGGTCATGTGACCACAGTTTGCTGTGGTTTTTTTGCTGGTTTTTGGCTTTTATTTCCAGTTTCTGCCAAAAGCCATTGGGGAAAATTGATTCACTTAATGACTGCTGCATTTGCTTAACGAGTGCCACAAAAATGTCAAAAAAATTGGGTCTAGTCATGTTGATGTTTTGATTTACGACCTCAAGGACTTACATCTGTAATTCCAGGCTTAATTATACTCTTAAATTGAGGATTACCTATGATTATTCATATTTATAGGAGAGTTGTGTGTTTGAAAATAATGGCAATTTAAAAATCTGTAACTCTGGCAGAGTGTATGGTAAAAGTTAGGGGTGCACAGTTAGGTCTTCCTGGAGCCACTGTTTGCCTACAAAGACAAAATCTTCACCAAAAATTCAGCTACCTTTGAATGGAAGGCATTTATATCGCAGAATATTTCTAGGATTTTTTGTTTGTTTGTTTGTTTGTTTCATTTATTTGGGAAATGTACAGCTTAAAAAAGCCTGGAAGGGATGACTTTTTAAAGAAACTAAATTAACTGCTCTTTTGTTGACTAAGGGAAATAATCAAGTTTCTTGTTTTAAAGTGTGTTTTAATATTATTTGTCCATGCGCAGAATAGTGATAATGTGTCTCATTGCCACCTTATACAGTATACTATAAAGGCTAAGGGTTGCCTGGGAAGTATTTGTGTGTGTGTATTGAATACCCATATAGTCCGAATTATGGAACTTTTCATATAAATGAATGTAAATATGCAATACATGCAGAGTTTTATTAACAATTATAAAGTAATATATTGCAACTTTTTGTAAATATTGGGAAATGGTTGTAAAGAGTGTAAATAAATCAGATTTATATGTTGAAAGTAGAGGTCAATTTTTACTTTTTGCAATTAAATATAATTGTTGATGCACTTTGCCCCATATGGCTTTTTTCCTTTGTTAAATAAATAATGTTCTATCAAAAGCCTCTGTGTATATATGCTGTATCATGAAGTATTTAAATTGGCATGGGGGAGTATGCTTTAGCAATATGCCATCTGCCAAGAAGGGAAAACAAAACAATTTAATTGCCAAAGAAATATGCTTACAGTATACTCCCAGGCACACACACACAACTTATATATAAGTTATTTCATTGCCTAATTTGAACTACAACATTTGTGACTCTGGGATTTTTTGAATAAAGAGGTGTTAGAAAAAGGAAGAGGATCATCTATGATGGACTCCTGGAAGTGAAGGATATTTCTAGGAAAAATGTGGTTTCCAAAGCATGGGTGTCTTTGGGGAAGAAATTTTGGAAATAGAAGGCAGATAACATCCATCTTGACATCACTTGATATTTTAATGCAAGAATTAGAGGTGATGAGAAGAAATCAATAAGCATCAACTGAGCTATTTATTTTATTCACCTCTTGAAATATACAGTATAAGGTATTAATACCGTGTTTCCCTGAAAATAAGACCCACCCTGAAAACAAGCCCTAGCCTGATTTTTTGGGATGGGCCTAATGTAAGCCCTACCCCAAAAATAAGCCCAGGGGATGGGCGTGGCCTGCCAGCTCCTTGGTGCAGCACAGATAGCTGTACGTCAGAGTGTAGAAGCAGGGGGAGATGTGCTGTGCTGCCTGGCTCACAGGAGGCTTGCAGAAGGTTTGTGTGGCGGCACCAACAGCAGGCAGAGGCAGAGGCCTGGGAGGGGGAGGACGCCTTCACAACTGCGGTCAAGCTGAGAGACTGGGAGGGAGTGGGCGGAGTGTTGAGATTGCTTGCCTCCCCTCCATGCCTCTGCCGTGTACTTTTTGCCCACAGGGAGATGAAGCTTTGTCTGCTTGCAAATGGGACGCTTTGAAATGCAGCTAATTGCTCTGTTTCAAAGCGTCCCATTTGCAAGCAGATAAAGGTTTGAGTCTTCCTCATTTTCCGTCGGGGCGAAAAGTCTTTGGGTGCTTATGGGGTGCTTGGGAATGGGAGTGTTTTCCCTGGCTGTGTCACTGGTGCTGTGCCAGTGCCGGAAGTGAGCTGGCAGCCACATGGGCTCCTGCTGTTGGTGTTGCCACTGTCAGGCAGTTGTCGGGGCATGGCGCCATGGGGGCCCTGAGGTAAGCCAGTGTGCACGTCGGGCAGCTCCACACCCCCATCTCATGGCGGTGGCACTCAAAAAATTTAAGCCACCCCTGAAAATAAGCTCCAGTGCTTATTTCTGGGCCCAAAAGAAAATAAGACAGGGTCTTATTTTCAGGGAAACATTGGACTCCCAGCAAATTTTAAAATATAAAATATAATGTTTTCAAATGCTACTGAAATGAGTAAGTGAACTGAGTACTGAGTGATTTTTTTAAAAAAACAAGGCCCTAATTTTATAAGTCTTTACAAATTTAAAGTCACATTGAGCTGTACCTGAGAAACTATGAGGATTCAATGCAAACTCTAGGACAATAGTGTATCCTTTTGTTGGTGTGCCACGAAGGCAAGAGAGTACATTATTACATTTAGTTCCAACTAAGATATCTAATCATCAAATTGATCTCATGTGATAGTGGTTACGCTAATCTAAACACAAAAGTTATGCATTATTATCACTAGATATGAATTGAGCATACATGAATATTGCACAACCTTCTCCCACGTGGAACAAGTGAACTTCATTGTAACCTGAATTATCAGCACACACGATTAAATTCATTTTATGAAGATGGACTAATATATTTTGTAAGCAACACTAAAATGGGTAAGACTAAGTACATGGAAACATCAGAGTGCATTCACTTTCTAATCAATGAGGATTAAGTTCTGCCTTGCTCCCTGCCTCCTTCCAAATCTGAAGAAATAGTTGAACATCAGTCACTTCGTATAATACTAAAATGCTGATCCTAATTGGAAGTATAGTTCAGTATGAAATGTCCTGCTTTCAGAGTTTCAGATAAAATTTGTGTAGGACTTGAGAAAATTTCATGGAGAGATAAAGCAACTATTGTTTACTCTTTCCACACTTTTCTAGAGACACTCTGTTTTGGTAACCAGAATACTGTGAGCCATTTGTGCATCAAATTCTATCTCATTTATTTGGAAGCAATCTAATGACGATATTTGGGATATGCCCTCATTGAAAGAGATGGGAAGGTTAACTTTCAGATTTTTCTAATGAGTAGGGTGTGTAGAACTACGCCTGTATTACATTTCATGCTTCTACATCGTGTAGAAACACTGCAATTTTGATACTTCAGTAAGATCTGTTTTATAGATTTATGTGGGCAATTTTTACATGGAACAATATTTACAGCAGAGTTCAAAGAATAGTTCATCTTTTAGGCAAGTGAATTTATTTTTTATCACTTGACCATGTTAATCTAAAACTATACAGAAGAGTCGTGACAACATTGGATAAAATTGCCATGCACATGGATGAGGCCACAGCTGCCTACTGTGGTTCTTGGCACTCTTTTAAAATACCTGGTTTGAGTTGTCATTTTCTGGGATATTCTGAAATTATTGCATTACTGCTCTGAGCAGTAATTCATTCATATGTTCCTAATATGTTTTTATGCACAGGAATAAGGGCCTCATTGAAAGTCTGTCATCTTGGATCTTAGACTGCATTTTGTCAAAACTTAAAGCACATGCCGCTGTTGTATAACTATATCTTCTGCAGATGTAACAAGTGTATTGTAGTCAGTCAGACAGATCATATGTTCAGGGTTAAAGCACTTAATAATGAGAGATAAATTCTTTATGCATTCATTTTTAGATTTATTTACAGGCCCTATAAAGGATCAATTTTCCTGTCTGTGGGTGGAAAAATGTCATTCTGTAATTGGTAACTACAAATAATAGTTCCCAACCACTTTTCATTACTGGCCTATTAGTACAGTACAATACATTCACAAAGTTAACTTTATCCATGTCCAAATAAATACACCAAACATAGAATAGTAAATCAAGCTAATTCAGAATCCTGGAGGCTCGTAGGAAACTTGGTGAAATGAAGATGCTTCTGGGAAATTTGTTACAGGTGTACTATAGAAGTATTGATGGAGGATTGTGGTCCAGGTTATTAGAAGGTATCTTATTGGTTTCCCTGGTACACTGGTGATGCATTGATACAGTGCACTGTATATTGATACTGTTGGATTGATAGTGCCCACTTGGTGCCTGAATTAGTATCGTTTGGTTTGGCTTAGTAAGTTAGGTAAATAAAGCCAGCTATTGACAGTTTTGTAAATAACAGTTTATGGGTTAGTATGTGAGCTAAATGTAACCAATTGTGCTGTATTCAATAAATGATAATTGAATCTAATCAGCAATAAATGAAAATGTCCTGCACTCTACTGAAAACAAATGGCAATCTTAATTCACAACACAATGGCATGCCTTCACTACATTTAAATATGAGATTTTAAAAACAAATCTATTTTAATAAACCAGGGTGAAATTGGAAGGGAATTGGATTGTTAACATTATCCCCATGTTGAAACTTTCGTATGGGAGAATTGCAAAACAAACATTAGTGAAGCAAAGAAAGATTCAAGATTCTTACAGGAAGAGGAACATATGGGACTTTTCACATGTTTGTTTAGATGCCTTAATGGACATGGTCTGCGCTCAGGAAAAAGTCCTAAGATGTGGCTGGTCCAGAAAGTCTTTGGGAATAGATTGTAAAGTGGATTCTCTCCCCGCAGTAAGCGATTATTGCTGCTAGGCCTGTTTCCTTGAAGTGTCAGATTAGAAATTTGAATTGTGTTTAATAAGCCAGATTTCCTTTTAAAAATATAAAACTCCATATAAATCTGTAGTTTGAAGCTTACGTAGAGAAAGCAGCTTAACAAGCAAGCTATATATAGTGCATTAAACCACAGTTTGACATTGGGACATGTTTTTCAAGGTTTGAGGTAAGGGATGAAAGGAGGACTGGATATAAGGATGGTGGACAGTTTAAACCCCTCCTGATGAAGTCTCAACACTGATAAGAATTTGTGAGGTTAGATTACACCAGTGCAGCCAACTGAAATCATTTCAGTACTGACAAAACGTAATTGGGTAAGGTGGTCTCTCATATAACTTGGTCCCATGCCACAAAGGACTTTAAAGGAGAAAGGCATTATATTGAAGTAGATCCGGAAGCAAACTTGAAAGTAGAGCATCTTAGAATAATTCAATTGGGAGGTGACTGAGGCATGAGTAATTTGTGAATAAAGCTTCACAATTAAGGAATGGCATAACTGGCACACAACATAAAGGTATGCAAATGCCCCCTTAGCCATGACAGCCACTTGCTCTTTGAATCAGAAGGATTGCATTCTGGGGCTGTCAGGGCCTGTACAACCTGAGCATTCAAGATGGCAAAGTCGTAGAACTGACAGGCCTCAAAACTCAAAACCATTGAACTTTGCTAGGGTTCAACTAATGCCTATTGTTCCCCATCAGGCTTTCACAGAGATGTATAATTGATTTATCATCATATCCTCATTCCATAGTGATGGATGATCTCACCCAGCAGTCTCATGTAGATGTTGAACCCTGTGGCACCCACATTGTACAGGCCAGGGGTGGGATCACTTCTCCCCAATCACCACTGACTGGAATTGACCCTGGAGAAAGGAGGTGAACTAGGAAACACAGCGTCACCCATTCCCAGTCCCTTGAACCAATCCAGAAGGATACTATGGTCAATGGTATTGAAAGCACCAGAGAGATCAAGTAGGACAAGGGTGGAGGCATAAAATTCATTCCACCCTCATCAGAGCTCATTTAAAAGCATGACCAATGCTGTTTCCATCCCATACCCAGGACTGAATCCTGACTGAAAGGGATCTGGAAAATCCACTTCATCCAAGTTCCTCTGAAGTTTCTGTGCAACCACCTTCTCCACTATCTTCCCCAGAAAACAAATGTTAGATAATAGATAAAAATTGTCCAGTATAGTGGGATCCACTGACGGCTTCTTGAGCTGGGAGCAAACCTCTTTAAGAGGTAACAAAAGGTCAAGCCCCTCAGTCAGGGAAGAGATCACCATCGCTAAAACCCATTCATACACCACTATCACCACCCTGGGACAAGTTGACCGATTGCAGGAGTTTCACAGTTTGACTGGCTTGGTGTTCAGTCCTCCAGACTGGGGTTGCCGCAGCACAATCTTTTTAATCCTTTTGGGATTGTACCTTCTTCACTTTGGTGGTGGTGTTTTTTTGCTTTCCCAGATGTTTGCGCACACAGACGCCTTCAGATTGCTTTCCCACATTCTCTGATGCTAACGTAGACCATTTCTCTTCCCCCCCCTTTTAATTGTCTCATTGTTGCTCTGATGCCACAAGGATCAAACAAGGAACAGATTGTTCCTTTGTACCTATTTCTGCTGTAGAAATTTTTGCATCAAGTTGAATTTCACAGATGCAAAAAGAGCATTCTTTGGAATTGTGTAGCTTCATTCTAAAGTGCCTTCCCTCACTGCAACTTAAAAAAATTTAGATAACAAAAAATGGCAAGGGAAGTGTCTTGCAGCACTGTTGGAGGACTGGGGTGGTGGTGGCGGGAATGTAAGAATATGCTTCACCACATCTGGGCAAAAATGATGCCCACTGGGAGGTATAAGGGTTGAATGGAGCAAGGACCTTCTAGAGCAGACAGGAAAACTTGTGGCAAAGAAAGTTTATTTACTTAACAGGCCATTGCTGGATGAACTGCAAGATTAAAAAAAAAAACCCAGCTGCTGACTAGTAGAGAACATAACAGATCATCAATCCAGGATAAAATGGTTGCAGAGGACAGTGACTGGCCGTGAGAGGAAAGGATGTGCTAGGCATTGTAGCAACTATAAACCATCCACTTAGAAGGTTTAAAATCTTTTAAGATGTTTTAAGATGGAAAACAGCAGTTTTGAAGTGGAGCAACAGAGACTCCATTTGCAGTAGGCTGGGAGTCAGTGGAGGGTGACCTCCATTCTAGCAGTCAGCAAATGGTGGGTGGCCTATTCTGGAGATGGGACAAGCCAAAAGAGCAGATCTGTCTTTGGTCAGGATGGAGAATCCAGGGTGGCCATCAAATACCTTAGTATTGCCATGGGTCTGCTCTGGTTTGCTAGATCGCATAGTTGGGGTCGGAGAACTGTGATAGAGGTCATATCACAGTCCCCACTCGGTCCCCTCCCAATGTCTTGTGTGTTTTATGACCCTGGCTGTATCCTTATTGGCAATTCTGCAGACTCTGTGTCTCCTCAGCCATTTATCTGCATTCTGACTTTTATGCTCACTAGAACTTAATACAAACATAAGCAAAGCCAGAAAGAGAAAAAGAACAACAATCCTGTCTCTCATTACAAAATGCAGCTTCATGTTTCAGGCTTCATCAAAGTCATAAAGCAATTCAAATTTATAGCAAAAACACTACGTTGGCAAATACAGGAAAAATACAGAAATTCCTAACAGCACACACATTAAAACATCTTAACCATCTGGCTGTTTGAAATGTGTTTTGAGGGAGGGGAGTGAATTATAAAGAGGATTACAGTTTGTAGAATTTATTCTATTCATATCTACAATATGCACATGGAGTTGGAGCTCAACCCAAAATAAATTTATTTACTTATATTTATATATTTTTAGCCTGCCTTTATTATTTTTATAAGTAACTCAAGGCTGCAAACATACCTAATATTCCTTCCTTCTTATTTTCCCCAGAGCAACAATCCTGTGAGGTGGATTGCAATAAGAGAGAATGATTGGCCCAAAGTCATCTAGCCAGTTTTGATGCCTAAAGTGGGACTAGAACACACAGTCTCCTGGTTTCTAGCCTGGTGCTTTAACCATTACATAAATGTTGTGTAATCTTCACGAAATCTGGGACTTTCTTTGAGCTATTCTCACATTCATGGCAGCTGATTTGAGGAATGAATAGAACTCCTTAATGTATAAAACTTTGTGCAATTCAGGATATATCAACAAAGTATGAGCTCTAAGAATAAATATTGCATGGACATTTTTTAATTTTTTTGCATGGTGAAAAACTCTCCATTAAATTTTATTTCTGTTGTTGGAAATTGCATATTTGGGCCTCAAATTAGTTCTGTGGGTTCATGCACCTTTGCACCTTTCTTTTTGATCCTATGGCCAAAATGTGGTGACTATGACATTGGCTACTATGTTCAATATATATGTTTTCAGTCTTATTGATGAACCAAATTTTAGATACTACAACAGACTTCCCAGTTCCTGGTTTATCCAACTAGTTGATTCTAGCCTAGATTCCAATTTCTTCATGTGTCTTACATTAAGTGTTGCCTGCAATATTGATGGATCAGGTGAATTTATATAGATCACAGATGTCAAACTTGTGCCGTCCCGTTGCCATCATGTGACGTTTCATGATGTTTTTTCCCTTTGCAGAGCTGGGGTGGGTGTGGCCTGTGCGTGATGCATCTGGCCCATGGGCCACCAGTTTGACACCCCTGATATAGATTATGGAGAAGGAGACCAAGAGAAGCTTATTTTTAGACAAAGACAAATATTATGAGGATTTGACATTCTCCTGAAATGAATGTGTTCTACAAAATAAACCTATTAAAATAATGCTGCTTTATTTTTTACGGTGTGTTCAATTTGAAAGGATTTTCTAATGGAATTATCTTGAATGCAATTAGTTAATGACCTTATTTTGGAATAAAAACTTGGGAGCATATTCATCACTCCAACTAGTGTACAATTTGATTTTTTAAATCATCCCGAGCTCTGCTAGCTTATTTATTTTATATGTGTAAGGGGTCTATAAAATAAATTGATATTGTACAAGCAGACTATGAATAACACTCATTTTAATGGTTTACTTTACATGTAAACTAGTCATGATCCAGCCCATTAGTATTCACCAGATTTCACAAGTAATTGTTGCTACATATTATGGGAAGCTGACAAATTTGATATTGTCTGAAATTTCATTATGGATTTACCACTAAATTCCTCATTAATTTCATATGAGTCAAAGATTCATAACTGAGTCTGGATCTACACAATTATATGGTGAATATGCGGAATGAAAATAGACATGATAATTAGACAACTAGTTATGACAACCTAATTTCAAGATTAGAGCTGCTTCCTCTGTAATTATTTTATTTATTTATTTATTGTCCTTAGCTATAGTGATCCACTTAAGCAAGAAAAAACAACCAATTAACCAACCTTTATTTAACACGTGCTATGGTTTTTGCAAATAATGCTAGATAGCAAGATTTGTACTTTATGCAGCATTGAAAAACCTGAAATGGTATCAATATAAATTTCTTTTGACCAAGGATGGAAACTAGGAAGTCTTTAGGACTTAAACAAACAAAAAAGAAACCAACAAACAAGCCATGAGTGAACGAACTATGAACTGTGGATTCATGTGAGTTGCAAAATATAACAAACATACCTATTTTAAATAAAAAATATCTGGAAATATATGCAACTATATATTAACCATTTTTACCCAAGTCAGGTACAATAGGCAGAAGAGCGGTCTCTTATTGAATTATTGCAGCACCTTTATCTTTTTGTTCTCTGTTTCCAGAGGATGTCAGAATAATATACATTACCCATCTTTTTCAGTTCAACCAGGATCGGTGTTGTGAATGCAAAACTGTCACTAATATTTTTTCCATCTGAATACATGGATGGCAAACTGCTACCTACGGTATATGTAATTTGCAGCCTATAGTATCCCCATATCCAAAAAGGATCGTCCTGGCTTATCTGTTAGCCTTGCCACATTTCCTGAGCCTGGGATGAGTAGGATCATCGATGGTCTGAAAGGACCACAGGGCTGAGTCAGTTTAGCAATGGCTTTGATCCCGTTTTTTTCTTTCTTTAAGAAGTCAGTATTGCTGATTGCATCACTACATGAAATCCTTGTGTCCAAAGAGTTTTTCCCAACGAGTGAAGCAATTCTGGTGGGCAGCTTAGTGTTAAATGAGTTTGGAGAACAAGAATGTGAGGAGTGTGTGGAATATGCACGCTCGCTCCAGTGGGTTAAATTTTAGAGCTAATAATGTGCCGAGCAAGGCTAGAGCAGCCTGGCCTGCCAAACAACCTGCCCTTTACCCATTTGATCAAACAGCCATGGTTTCTCTGAGTGTCCCTGAAGGACCATTCATCTTCCATCAGTGATCCTATATGAGATGGGTGTGTTCCCTCTATGGCTCTGAAAGGCATTTCTAGTAAAAAAGATAAATATCCTCCTTGCAGTTCTTGGGCTTTGGGTGTTCCTTACTCTGGGAAAGGATTTAAAGCTGTCTGCCAGACCCGTGGGCTGTTACAACAAGACAGTGCCACAATGCTGAGCTCAGGCCTGCGGATTCCCCTCCTTTCCCTCCTCCTCCTCCTGCTGTTCGCAGCGATGGAGCTGAGCTGGTCCTTTACAGATGAGGAAAAGAAGCAGATCGTGGACCAGCATAACCTGTATCGTTCCATGGTTTCTCCTTCGGCTGCAAACATGCGAAAATTGGTAAGTTTGTGGTGACGAGCTTTGGTGGAGTTGGGGAATTCAGAGATTTCTATCTCTTATCATGAATATATGGCAGCTTTTCTTGAGTGTTATAAAAATGAACTTAAAAAAAAAAACCCTTTGGTGTCCCTTCAGTTGATGAAGGAAAGAAAGGTGAGGAATTTGAATTCAGTGACCAGTTAAATGGCCTTTCTGGACATGCCTTGTGTCTGTCTCCTGGTGTATTTTACAAGTTAACTACTTTTTAAAACAACTGTGATCTAATTTTGTGCAAAGGATAATATGTGTGAGTGTGTGTCTGTAGCTTTTCTGTTCATAAGTCAGTCTGCTCACCTGGAATTTACAGAAAACTAACTTTTCTTCTGGAACTTTTGAATGGAACAATCCTCTGATTCTTATCAAATTCCTGCATTTCATGAATTAGAGTATTTTGTGTGAATCTAAGGTAAGGGAGTCAGTGTGGGCCATGGTTACAGGAGTTCTGTACCACGTTATAATACTAGGGCTATAAAAGTCTAAACAGGCTTTCATTTTCAGTATGAAGAACCCATAGATACTGGATTACAGTTCTATTCAGAAAACATCCTCTGGGCTTTTACAGGTGGGTGGTTGATGGTGGTGTATGTATGTGTGTTTTTTTCCTTTTAGAAAATATGGTTTCAGCACATGAAACTCATTAGTTGAATGGGATACAAAACAGATTTTTTACATCCCAGCTCTGCTACTGTTCTAGAAAACACAATAATCAAACAGGAATTTGCTATTACTGATTGCATTATTTCCCCTTCTCCATGCCTGCCTGTCAACCAGCTGCAACTTCATTAAGGTTCTATTTGTAACAAGTAGGATAATACCGACAATGTTACTGACGACAAGGTAAATATATTGATCCACTACTTCCCAGTACACATGCACATTTTGGTGTATTTTTTATAAATGTTCCCCTTTTGCTGTTCAGACTGATTTCTGCCCCTCCTACTTTTTTTTTTTGGTTGGGGAGGGAAACAGATTCAGACTCTTAAAACTAGTGTTCAACAAAAAAAGAATCTCGGGATTTGATTTGCTTGGTGGAAATCAAAGGCTGGACATATCCCAAAGACATTTGTAAATGAAGGCAAACTGTTCTGTTGAGATTTCAAGTAGCCATTGATTGAAAACCAGCAGCACATTTTGAGACTATGGCCATGTTGTCCTGTCACCAGAATGAGATGACAATTGTTTCTGGAGGGCAGTAAGGGATGATGTCACCTTCTATTAATCCCTCACTGACCCCTAAAGCAACATCAGGAGACATTTTCCTGAGTCACGTCCAAAATACACTTTTTCTATGTTATGTCACCTTGAGCTCGTGCCCATTTGGGTTAGTATGCTTCAGTTCATTCAAGTTAACTCCAGCATTAATTGGCTCCCGTGATGAAGCAGAAACACTCCTTCAACTGGAGCAGAGCCTACCATGCTCTTTCAAAACTTTCAGAGCTGCATTTTACTTGGAATTCTAGGATAGCACAATGACTACAGGTAGTCCTCGACTTACGACCACAATTGAGCCCAAAATTTCTGTTGTTAAGTGAGACACATTTGTTAAGTGAGTTTTGCCTCATTGTATGATCTTTCTTGCCACAGTTGTTAAGTGAATCACAGCAGTTGATAAGTTAGGAACCTGGGTGTTGTTGAGTGCATCTGGCTTCTCCATTGACTTTGCTTGTTAGAAGGTCGCAAAAGGGGATCACATGACCATGCGGCACATCAACAGTCATAAATACGAATCAGTGGCCAAGCATCTGAATTTTGTTCACATGATCATGGGGATGCTGGAAAGGTCGCAACTGTGAAAAACGGTCATAAGTCACTTTTTCTCAGTGCCGTTGTAACTTTGAACTAAAGTCACTAAAGGAACTGTTGTAAGTCGAGGATTACACATTACATTTTCTTATTTTTAAAAGGTTGCTGGTTTGAAATGAAAGCATTTTTTTAAAAAAAACAAAACTATACCAGAAATAAAAGGGTCCAGACCCTACAAAGCCCATAGTTACATGGAAGCTGAAGTGAAAGCCCTCTACTTTGAGTAACCCAAAACAAATGATGAAATGATACACTGCTAGATTTTTCTCTATGACTTAAAAAAAAAAAGCACAGGGAAAAGTAGCAAAAAAGCTCAGGAAAATGAAAATATTTTTTTAAAAAACTGCACTGTTTCAAATAATCAGCCTTTTATTTGCAAGAACTATGGTAATGGGACATGGTGGCTCAGTGGCTAAGACGCTGAGCTTGTCAATCGAAAGGTCGGCAGTTCAGTGGTTCGAATCCCTAGTGGCACGTAACGGGGTGAGGTCCTGTTACTTGTCCCAGCTTCTGCCAACCTAACAGTTCGAAAGCACGTAAAAAATGCAAGTAGAAAAATATGGACCACCTTTGGTGGGAAGGTAACAGCGTTCCGTGCGCCTTTGGCGTTTAGTTATGCCGGCCACATGACCACGGAGATGTCTTCTGACAGTGCTGGCTCTTCGGCTTTGAAATGGAGATGAGCACCGCCCCCTAGAGTCGGGAACAACTAACACATATGTGCGAGGGGAACCTTTACCTTTACCTTATAGTAATTACAAAATTTTTAATAAAGGAAGCTCTAAAAGACATGCAAAACAGGTTTGTTATGCCTGTTTGCACATGCATTTCAGTGCTTCACTTTGTGTGAGTATATATATATATATTTTTATTTTTAATTTGATTTATATGCCACCCTTCTCCGGAGACTCAGGGCGGCTTACACTGCGTTAAGCAATAGCCTTCATACTTTTGTATATTTATACACAGTCAGCTTATTGCCCCCACAAACTGGGTCCTCATTTAACCTACCTTAGAAAGGATGGAAGGCTGAGTCAACCTTGAGCCTGGTAGGATTTGAACCTGCAGTAATTGCAGGCAGCTGTGATAACAGGGTGCTTTAAACCACTGTACTACCAATATGTGTGTGTACATTTTTTTTCCAATTGTTTTTCACACCTGTAAGAATCTAGGAAGACAGAAAGAAAGGTGACTAATCATTGCTTCCCTGGAACAGGAAGACAGGGCAGTATAACAGCAGGGAAATAGTCTGATTAGAAAATGTGATACCCTGCATTTTGAGCTGAATACCTTTCAGGTTGTCAAGATGTCTCAGTCTGGACCCAATTTTCTCACGAATTAAGGTGGTATGAGCACAGGACCCAAGCAGTTAAACAGTAAGTGCAGACAGGCCCTAAATCTACTCTCTTTCAGCTGGTGGAGAGCTGCATCTACAGAGAGCTTTGAGCAGGTATGAGCAAGGTAAGAAAAAATATGGAGGGAGAGGCTTGCTAGAAGAGAAATTGGTCCTTTGCCAGAAAATTAATTCAAGCAGAAATGATTTGTGTAAGGGGTTTGAGTAATAAATTAGACTGGAGTAAATTGAAAGGGCAATGATTGGTGTTTGCTAATAGCTGTGGCTCCAACCACACCTCTGCCTTGCGGTCCGTGTGGCTTTTAGCAGGTTGTTCCCCAGAGACCAAGTGAACCTGCAGCGGAATCCTGAGAACTGACTCTTTTTGATGACAAACATCAGTAGAATTATAGCCAAAGACCAAAGGGCAGTGGCAGATTTTGGGAGGCTCTCTTCTCATTCCTTTTACTAGCCCAGAAAGAAGAAAAATATATGAATTTCCTTTCAGGGTTCATCCATGGAAGCATGTGGTTTTGTTGACCGAAGGCTGCATTTTACTATCTTTCTGATGGAGGAGAAAGATGCAGCAGGTGGATAAATCACATCCCAACATAGGTGGTGCTGGATTTTCCGATTTTTTCTGTCTTGTTTTGGGGAGAAAGTTGGGACTTTGCTTTTTCTAAAAAATGCATCTGTGAATTCTTATTAAAAAAAACAAACTTTCTCAGGATAATATAAACACCATATGAAGGCAAGGACAGGGAACAGTGCCACAGACTAAATAAAAACGAGGGCCCATCATAGTAATGGCAATTAATGCAACATAAAATCCCAATAATCCCTCCAACCAAAACAAAGTTCTGAGAAACGAAAAATGTGTTGAGACACTTCTTAATTGTCCGAAGCCTATTTTAGGTCTTACACTTCACCACTGAAAATGTCAGCAGTGTAGTCAGTTTTGCATGGCTCATAAAAAAGGGTGTGAAGGTACAAATGGCATGTTAGTAGCACGGTGTCTTCCCAGGTACCTAGCCCAGGTACCAATCTGATCATCATGCTTTCTGAACATGAGAAAAACTACTGCTCTGAATCAATCCTTTTCCCTTATTAGAACTCAATGCTAATAAATCTGGCTGCTAAGGACATTTGCCCACATCTAAAAAGGGCTGGTGGGGCTTTGATAGTGTGATCCTGCCATCATCTGGACTTCGTTGACCCCAGGGGCTGACAGTTCTCTTTTGTTCCCTTTCTGCCCCAAAGCATGAAAAAGACCTATAATGGTGCTACTTTTTGCTCAAGGGTTTTGTGAACGGGAGGTTTGCTGCTGTGTTGCATTGGGTTCAATGCAAATTTTTTGGGATGGTGCTTTTTGCTCATGCTACTTCCCTCAATTCTAAATGTGCTTGTTAGATGATTATCTTGACAATCCGTATCAGAGTTATTTATTTTTTAGGGCAGGCTTTAGGGTCCCATGGTTAGCTCCTTTTCCTGTTATGAATTCCTATCCAAAGTCATGCTTTTTATTTTGTTTGGGTCAGTAAGTGCTGGTTGTCATGGAAATACTTACATACATTGAGCTATGCTTGCCAAGCCATATTTAATGTAATGAGAAATGCAGCTGTTAGAGCCCTCCATCTGGCTGTGAATCACAAAAAGGGAATAACGCACCCAGCCTGGATCTACATCAGCATCTCAGTATTACATTTATGGTCGTATGCGTTTGAAACAGTTTCATTTGCAATCATCAATACGCCAGTCTCAAATACAGGTAATCCTTGTCTTAAAACCACAGTTGAGCTAGAATTTTGTTTGTAAGTCGCTGCGG